ACCGGTCACACTAACAGAGCTGCTATAGAAGCCCCAGTCCCAGGGCACCTCTTGCTCACACAGGTCACAAGGTGCAGTCCACACCTCAGGAAGCAGCCAGGAGCTTCCTCCCACACCTCCACACTGCACCCAGCCCCATTGCTCCTCCCAAGAAACATCACACAAGGGATTCAGGTCCACAAGCAGAGGGCTTTATTTCAGGTCACTTTTATACAACCCCTCCAGTCCCAATTGACCACCACCTAGGACAGTGGAGCCCCCAGTGACACCGCACATCTCAGGAATGGCTGCACTTCCCACAAGTTTGTGCTGCTCCTCGGCAGCTCCTCCTGCTCCAAGGGGTGCTCCTAGAGCCGCTCTAAGGCGCTGCTGCAGCACCCTCTTGTGGCCTTCATCCCACGAGGCCGCAGTGGAAGGAGGCTCCCCGGAGGGCTGACAAGCTGTGAGCGGATGCACATACACCTCAAGGTTTCGTGAACTCAATTCTCTCTACTTTCACATCTTCTTCAATTAGTTGATACACATAAACCACAACTGTAGATGCCTGGTTATCCATCAGTACAAAGGAAGGGATGGTGTTTCTGGAAAGAGAGAGGTTTTCTTGAACTTTTGTAGCTTATGCTTCTTAAGAACACATTTTCAGACTAATACATTTGACTTGCAAGCACTGCAGCAAAAGAGAAAACACAGGACTTGGGAGACATGGACAACAGCATCTCAGATTTGAAGCTATTCTAAGTGATCCCTGAAGGCTAGCACCCTAAACCACATTAGAACCACACACTTTGGGTACTAGTACCTCAGAAAGTCTAACTTCTGGAAGTGCTAGCACATAGTGCAGGCTGGGCACCAGGTGGCAGACTTGAATAAAGCAGCTCCTGCAACTCAGCCCTCTAAAGGCTCAGAAATGAGAACCTAACAAGCCAGGGCTGTATCCTACCCAGCACTTAGGCTAAATGAAGTCTTTTCAGTGCAAGCTGCTGCATTTCTTGATCAGTGAAGAGACAGAGCTTGTCTCCTACAAGACACACAGTTCATGAGAGCTCTAAAATGTAGTGCTGGGTGGACACTACAGAATGAATGTGCACATTTAAGTGATGCCTACAGGCGCTCCCTGCACTGTGCAGTTGCAGTTTCCCTTGACTCATTTCACTCACATCTCCAAAGCATTGTAAGCTCCTGTTGCTGATCCTGGATTGATGTAGAATTTGTTTTCATGTTCAAATGCTTCAAATTTGTGTGTATGTCCAGAGATGAGAATGTCCACATCTAGCTGCCTCTGTAGCAGAGCCAGGCTGGCCACATCACCCCAGGGAATAACTTGATGACCATGAATCAAACCAATTCTGAACTGCCCAACAGTTACAACCTTCTCTTCAGGATAATACAGGCTCTGAAAAAGAGATGCACAGGTTATACACATAGAGAAAAGATCACTCACCTGTGAGGCTCAGATTTATACATCCACCCCTACATGAAGCCACTTAGCACGGTTACTCCTTCAACATGTACAAGGAGGCAGATGCACACACCATACCCCTGCAAGAGTAGCTACGCTGCAGAGAACTGGGATTTTGCACTACACTGAAGCTTCAGAGTCCAGTAGCTTCAAGGATACCCTATGAGTTAGGGAACACTCAGCCAAGTCCCATTCCCTGCCACCATGAAGCAGCCTGGGAACCTCAACAGCCTTGCTTCAGTCCCAAAGAGACTTAGTCCACATGAATAAAGGGGCATGTGACTTCACCCCTCAGCCTGTATCACCACCACAGCAAGAAGCATCTTGTCATTTGGATTGATTGGTGTCACTCACATTACTCCCTACATCCAAAGCCTATGGTTCAGGAACCAAAGGACACAGAGCAACCGCAGCATACAACATGGGGAGCACAGGAATTTAAAGCAGTTAAACCCACTCAACCCACACACAACACATTATGCCTTACCTCAGAGTCCCCCCTGACAACATGAATATCTGAAGCCAGTGTCCGGAGATAGTCGTAGCTCTCCTTAGTGCAGAGGTTCCCCGTGCACAGGATGTGCTGAATCTTTCCTGGAACCAGCAGCTTCTTGAACTTGGCGGGCAGACCGCTGCACCGGTGCGGGATGTGCAGGTCCCCCAGCACTAACACCAACTGCGCACGGGGCACCAAGGGAGAGGGACCGGCGAGTCAGAGCCGCTCAACGCGGAGCGGCGAGAGCCGCCGGGCCGGGCCGCCCGCCCGGA